ACAGAGACCATGAAGGGGTACTACTTACTGGATTGCTCCTTATGGCTTGCTCAGTCTGCTTTCTACTAAAAGGCAGGACTATCAGCCCAGGGGTGACCCCATCCACAATAGGCTAGGCCCTCCCCCATCAACCACCAATTATGGAAATGCCCCCAAAGACTTGTCTACACTCAGATCTTATGGGGATATTTTCTCAACTAAGGGTCCCTTCTCTCTGGTAACTCCAGCTTGTGTCAAGCTGATACAAAACTAGCCAGGAGGGCTGGAGAGATGGCTCAGAGGTTAAGAGCATTGCCTGCTCTTCCAAAGGTCCTGAGTTCAATTCCCAGCAACCACATGGTGGCTCACAACCATCTGTAATGAGGTCTGGTGCCCTCTTCTGGCCTGCAGACATACACACAGACAGAACACTGTATACATAATAAATAAATAAATATTTAAAAAAAAAAAAAACTAGCCAGGACAACAGTCTCACAAAATTTGGAACAAAAAAACAACCTTAGATTTCAGATTTCTTTCCAAAACAAATGTATCACTTCAAACAGAATTCACCACACTGCCCAGTGTGACAGGTTAGAGACTTAGGCTTCTCCTTGGACACATGCTACTTCTCTGAGTTCTGTAGCTCCACAAAGATACAGCCATTGGCCACCGTTAACATATGACCAAATTGCAATGCAAGCGGTGGTTTGAATGAGAATGTTCCCCATGGGTTCATAGATTTGAATGCTTGGTCACAGGGAGCAGGCATTATTAGGAGGTGTGGCTTTGTTGGAGTAAGTGTGACCTTACTGGAGCAAGTGTGTCACCGGGGTTGGGCTTTGGGGTTTCAAATGCTACATCCAAGCCCAGTGGCTCTCTCTTCCTGCTACCTGAGGATCCGGATGTAGAACTCTCAGCTACCACCTCACATCATGTCTACCTGTGTGCCACCATGTTCCCAGCTGAGACAATAATGGATTAAACCTCTGAAACTGGAAGCCCGCCCCAATGAAACGTTTTCTGTTAGAAGAGTTGCTGTGGACAGCCACAAATATCATAAAATATCTCGGAGTAACTCTAACCAAACAAGTGGAAGACTTGTATGACAAGAACTTTAAATCTTTGAAGAAAGAAACTGAGGAAGACAAAAGGAAGTGGAAAGATCTACCATGCTCTTGGGTAGGCAGAATTAACATAGTAAAAATGGCATTCTTAACAAAAGTAATCTACAGATTCAATGCAATGCCCATCAAAATCCCAGCAAAATTCTTCAAAGACCTCAAAAGAACTGTACTCAACTGCATTTGTAAAGCAAAAAACTCAGGATAGCCAAAACTATCCTGGACAATAAAAGAACTTCTGGAAGCATCACAGTCCCTGACTTTAAACTCTGCTACAGAGGTACAGTACCGAAAACAGCCTGGTATTGGCATAAGAACAGACAGGAGGACCAATGGAACCGAATAGAAGACCCGGAGATCAATCCACTCATCTTCGAACACCTGATCTTTGATAAAGAAGCAAAAAATATCAAATAGAAAGAAGAAACCATACTTAACAAGTGGTGCTGGCATAACTGGATATCAACATGTAGTAGAATGAAAATAGACCCATATCTATTACCATGCACTCAAGTCCAAATGGATCAAAGACCTCAGCATAAAGCCAGCCACACTGAACCTTATAGAAGAGAAAGTAGGAAATACACTTGAACACATTGGCACAGGGAACCACTTCCTAAATATAACCCCAGGAGCACAGACACTGAGAGAAACAATTAATAAATGGGACCTCCTGAAACTGAAAAGCTTCTGTAAAGCAAAGGACATGGTCAACAAGACAAAATGACAGCCTACAGAATGAAAAAAGATCTTCACTAACCCCACATCAGACAGAAGTCTGCTCTCCAAAATATACAAAGAACTCAAGAAATTGGACACCAAAAGATCACATAATCCAATAAAAATAAAATGGAATACAGACCTAAACAGAGAACTCTGAACAGAGGAATCTAAAATGGCTGAAAGACACTTAAGGAAATGTTCAACATCCTTAGTCATCAGAGAAATGCAAATCAAAACAACTCTGAGATTCCATCTTACACCTGTAAGAATGGCCAAAATCAAAAATACTGATGACAATTTATGCTGGGGAGATTGTGGGGAAAAGGGAACACTTCTGCATTGCTGGTGGGAATGCAAGTTGGTACAACCCCTTTGGATGTCAGTGTGGCGATTTCTCAGAAAATTAGGAAACAACCTTTCTCAAGACCCAGTAATACACTTTGGGTATATATCCAAAGGATGCTCAATCGTGCCACAAGGACGTGTGCTCAACCATGTTCATAGCAGCTTTGCTTGTCATAGCCAGAACCTGGAAACAACCTAAAGGCCCCTCCACCAAAGAATGGATAAGGAAAATGTGGTACATTTACACAGTTGAGTACTACACAGCAGAAAAAAAATAACGACAGCTTGAATTTTGCAGGAAAATGTATGGAGCTAGAAAACATTATTTTGAGTGAGGTAACCCAGACACAGAAAGAAAATTATCACATGTACTCACATAAAACAAAGAAAACCAGCCTACAAACCACAATCCCAGAGAATTTAGACAACAATGTGGACACTAAGAGAGACTTACATAGATCTAATCTACATGGGAAGTAGAAAGTAGAAAAAGACAAGATGTCCTGAGTAAATTGGGAGCATGGGGACCTTGGGGGAGGGTTGAAGGAGACAGGGGAGAAGCAGGAAGGGGAGCAGAGAAAAATGTAGAGCTCAATAAATATCAATTAAGAAAAATAAAAATAAAAAAAAAAGAGTTGCTGTGGTCGTGGTGTCTCTTCATAGCAACAGAACACTGGCTAAGATATCAATCTTGAAACATTTATTTATAGACTGAAATTGAAAGTCTTGAAGTTTTCTAATGACATTCAAAGGCCCAACTTTAATATCATTCTATTAACTTGAAATCAGACAAGTCAACTCACCTGTTTTCAGAAAACCAAACTTAAACAAAAAATTTGTGTGAGAATCAAAGAAACAGAAGTCAATACAACTTCTCCTAGGAAAGCAAATTTGTGTTAATACAAGAAAGCCAATTTTTTAAAAAAACATAAGGCAAAAACCTAAGTTTGAAGCCAACGTAGGCTACATGGCAAGGCTCTTGCCTAAAACACAAAAAGGAGAAGGGAAACAAAAACAAACAAAAAAACCAAAGAATACATAATAATCATAGATGCAGAAAAAGCAATGGGGAAAACCCAGCAATATCAGGATAACAATCCTTAATAAGTTAGTAATAAAAGAGAACGAACGTCATCAAACCTGATAAATCATAACTTTGCTCTTAAAGTAAGAAACACGACAAGGATGTCCACTTTGCCAGTTCTGCACAATGCTGTGCAGGATGTTCTAATCATTTTATTTAGACAGGAGAAAGAAACAAATGGCTGAATTGAAAAGAAGTAAGATTCTATTTTAAGATGACAAGATCCAATATATAAAACATTCTGGGCTGGGGCTGGAGAGATGGCTATGTGGATAAAAATGCTTGGTGGATCAGCCTGACGACCTGAGTTACATCCTTGATCCCACAGTGGAAGGAGGAAACCAACTTCTCAAGTTGTCCTCTCACCTCCACACATATCTGGTAGTATCCACAGTCAGTCTGTCACTCTCTCTCTCTCACACACATACCACAAACTAATAATTAAAAATAATAAATAAAATTCTGGGCTGAGGAGGTAGTGAAGCTGCTAGTGCTTGCTCAGCACTCCCAGAGTCCTGGGTTCGATCCTCAGCACTTCATAACCTCACGAGCTCAAGGTCTTATGGCTGCTTACGCACCCTTCATATAGAAAGGCAGAGAAGAAAAGCTAGATGTTCTCAATATTGCAGGATTTCCTAAGTGCTCTGAGAAATGGAGACAATGCCTGGGGGGGAATTTAAAACTGATGAAATGGCAAAGTTGGACGAAACATGCTACATTTGGGAAATGAAGGACTGTGGGCCAGTTTGCAGGAGGCCTGAAGGAAAAGGCCACTACTGCTGCCCACAGATCATTGTCTGAATACTTCTTTTGTTCAGAATTCAGACCCAAGATCGAAGCCACAAATCCTGGAATCTCTAATGTAGACGTGGTTAAAACAAAAGAAAAACAACAACAGTTGAGTGAGACGCCAAACAGCTTAAGCGGCAGAGAAAAGCAGCCATGCAGCAAGCATTAAGGTGGTGAGGCAGAGGGAGACATACAAGAAGGATGATCTAAGAACAAGTCAAAGACAGTCTCGTGGTAAAAAGGGTCTTACTGAATAAAGGTGAAAGAACAAGATGAGGAGGCGGCAGCAGGAGGAAGGAGGGAAAACAACTATTTTATTTGGCTTAATTTTTTTGAGTCAGTCTCACGTAGACCAGCTGGCCTCAAACTCCTGATTCCTCTGCATCAGCCCATGGTCTCCATAGTACTGGGATTATAGGTATGTACCACCACGCTCAGCTAAAAAATGTTTATCTGTCTTCTTGCAAATACGATAGAGGAAAGAGCCATGATCCAAACATCTTATCTGAGTTGTGTTTACTGTCTTCACTGGGTTTAATGTAGAATCTGGTCAGTCACTGCCCCCAGCTTCTCTTAGCCTTCAGTTTACTTAAAGTGGATACATATGTCTGGCACTCCTGAAACTGTATCAAATTTGTATGTTTCCAAACATTTTAAAATGAAAAGGTACTCTTGTGTTCTCCTTACTCTGCAATTTGTTTTTGGTATGACAAGGCATTTTGAAGATGTTTCTGGCATTTTGCTTTCAGTTTGTAAGGTGATATTATCATGGTTACTGGCTGAAGACCCTGAGTTGAAAACTGTAAATATCTGTAGTTTATAAAGTAAACAAAAACAAAGTCTTGATGCTCCTTGCTTCGCATGGGGGGGAAGACCCCTTTTGGAAGGGCTGTAGCTCAAGGTGTGCACTGTGAGGCTAAATCTGTTGACACAGGGATGGATCCCAGTAGCTTCAGGTTGTCTTGCTGTTTTTCTATGTAACACAGCATTCTGCTGACATTTTTTAGCTGTGAAAAAGAGAAGCTAGCATGAGAAGTGTTTGGTTTTTTAAGTTTTGCAAAGTAGATATACATTAGTTTTTAGATAAACTGCAGAATTCTTCATTGCTAGCAAAGAAACATCAAATCAATGCATGTTCAAGAACCCTCTGGGGCTGGAGAGATGGCTCAGTGGTTAAGAGCATTGCCTGCTCTTCCAAAGGTCCTGAGTTCAATTCCCGGCAACCACATGGTGGCTCACAACCATCTGTAAAGAGGTCTGGTGCCCTCTTCTGGCTGCAGACATGCACACAGACAGAATATTGTATACATAATAAATAAATAAATATTTAAAAAAAAAAAGAACCCTCTGTACCTAAGCACAATTTTTGTATGTTTTAGCTGCAGTGTTTTTGAAGCTAAAAAATTACATATTAAAAAAGTCACATTGCAGGGAGGTGGTAGTCCCAGCACTCAGGAGGCAGAGGCAGGTGGATCTCTATGAGTTTGGAACCAGCCTGATCTACAACAGCTAGTTCCAGGTCAGGTTCCAAAGCTACAGAGAAAAACCCTATCTCAGAAAACCAAACCAACCAACCAAGCAAACAAAAACAGAAAAATAAATAAAAAAAATCACATCAACTAGGAGCTGGGGAGATGACTCAATGGTTAAGAGAACATAATGTTCTTGCAAAAGACCTGAGTTCAATTCCCAGCACTCACATCAGACAGCTCACAACTCCAGTTCCAGGTGATCTGATAGCCCTCGGACTCACCCCCTGATAAATAATAATTAAAATTTAAAAGTAAAATGGCTTTTAAAAGATTCTTAAAAAAATCACATAAACTAAACTTTAGCATTGTACACATTTTAAGTGTACAGTTCAGCAATTAAGCATATTCACACTTTGTGAAACAGACTTCTAGGGCATTTTCATCCAGGAAAACTAAAACTCTGTACCCTTACATGACAATGCCTCACATCCTCTTAACGCCAGCTTCCACAAAGTACTACTTTACTATTTCTGAGAACCTGACTACTTTCAGAAGCTCCCATGTGCAGCACTGTAATACTTGCGTTTGGTGACTGCTTTATTTTACTTAGCACAGCGTTGCAACATGGGACAGGAATCCTTTCTGAAGCCTGAGAATCCTCTGCCGCAAGTGTGCACAGACTGTTAACCCTCCATTCATCCACACACATACGGCTGTTCTGAGTGATGTTACTATAAGTGAAGTGTGCAAGCCTGCTTCAGATTGGATTTCTGGTGCTTTCACACTTCTGGGTGGAAGCAGAACTGCTAGATCATGGAGTCTTCTTTGAAAATGGTTGTGAATGGACTAAAAGCCACTGGGCTGTGTATTTTAAATTGGTGGCCTATTTATAGGAAATCATATCTAAATAGAACTATTAAAATATAAATCATTAAGAACAAATAAAATATATACTTACTTCAAGGATTCTGATCGAACTGGACAATTAATCAATGTAGTTAAATAACTTGTTAATCTTCTCATTCATGTAACTTAGACTCTTTTTTAATAGCCTGGCTAGAAGTGAAGGCCTATGTTCATTTATTTTTTTGTGACATAGCCTAAGTCCTGTTTTTTAAATTAATTAATTCATTTTTAATTCATGTGTACTGGTGTTTTGCCTGCATGCATGTCTATGTGAAGGTATTGTATTTCCTGAAATTGGCGTCACAGACAATTGTGAGCTGCCATGTAGGTGCCAGGAATCGAACCTGGGTCCTCTGGAAGGGCAGTCAATGTTCTTAACTGCTGAGTCATCTCTCCAGACAACTAAGTGCTGATTTTAATCATTTAAAATTTTTCATCAAGAAATAATGTGAAAAAATAACAAATTTATAATAACCATGGCAATATTTATTTCCTTTGTTTTAGGCACGTCATTCAGCATTTTTTTTTTAAAAGACAGACAAATGAAGCAGAACTTTACTCCTTGATCTCATGTATATCTTTTGGAATTTAATCATCAGCACTGGGGTTGGGGGCAGAAGCAGGAGGATTTCTGAGTTCAAGGACAGCCTGGTCTGCAGAATGAGTGAGTTCCAGGACAGCCAGGGCTACAGAGAAATCTTGTCTTGGAAAAAAGAAAAAAAATTTAATCAAAGTTATTTCACATAAAAAATATTAAAAAGTTAGAGTTTGACTTTTTGGCAGTAAAAATTATATAGTTGTAATAAATCAGGGCTGAAGAGAAGACTCGGCAGCTACAAACACTAGCTGTTCTTTCAAAGGACTCAGGTTCAATATTCCCTGCACTCCCTTGGCACATGACAACATCTCTAACTCCAGCCCCTAGGGATCTGATGCCTTCTTCTGGTCTCCAAAGGCAACGTACACACAACGTAAGACATACATTCAGGTAAACACTCATATACATAAAGTTAAAAAAAACTCAAAAAAGTTAGAATAAAAATGAAATTAAAAGGTCCTGTCTTCAATGTCACTGACTGAGAAAAAAAGTAAAAGAAGCAGGAGGAAAAAAACATTTTAAAGTATACCAAATCCAAACCTGCTTCACCTCTAATTACTATATAAAATTAGAAAAGCCAACAGCAATACAGACAACCATTAGTGCTCAGAAGACCGTTCCTCTTCTGCTTCATCCAGACACTTTCAATACTGTCAAGACTCAAAAGCATGATTTTAGCAGGATGAGAGTAATATAACCTCAAAGACTTCTCATAAGTATCTCTAATTAGACAAAGAACGCTAAATGAACATTTAAAAAAAAAAGCCAGCACAAACTAAGAAACACTACTTTCTAATCACTTTTAAAATAACTGGTTCCAGTGGCTCATACTAAATGCGAGACAAGTTTGGCATTCAACTTTCCATGCTGGTCCCAAGGCAGATACCTAGCTATAGACAGTTACTAAGTGGGGCTGGTTTCCTTCAGCTAATAATACATCTTATACATTTTAACAGCTTTCCTGAATCATTTTTTGTGGTTGATTGTAAAGGAAGGTGGAAATACTACCAGTCATTGGCACTGATTTCAGACTCTTATTGTAGACTTTTTTTTGAAGTCCGTCTATGTACAGAAGCAAAATTACGAATAGCATTTCGAAGAGTCGCGTTCCCCTCAGAGATATCAGAAGAGTTGATGACTGAATGTAAGGCCCGGTTATATGCTGCAAATGAAGGATTGCACAACAATGAATAAAGTCAGATTCTATACAATTCTCCTACTTCTTTTTCCTATCAGTAACTTCTTTACCCAAAATGCCACTGAATAAACGTTTACTGAATACGTAGAATAGAGCAAGCACTCTGTAAGCAAAGGAAAGAGAATACAGAAAATGGCAGCAGAGTTAAAGTTGCAGGGCAGTACTTCCACACCACAGGCACATACAAACGGTCACAATAATAGGAAGACAGATATGAACCAACAACTAGGGAACACTGGACGGATTTGAGAAGCTGTGCCATTTAAAGTGGGCTTTGGTGATTAACAGGAGGAGAGAAAAGAAGGAATCACAGGTAGAGAACAAAGCGGGTGAGATGCAGAAGTGTACGAAGAAGTTTGGTGAGGCTGCAGTGTGGTCTGAGACCAGAGAGAAGTACATAAAATATATCATGCTTTCACTGTTATGAGGAGAAGTTTAAAGTAAGGGAATGATAAGATTCATAGGATGGACACATTCATATCACAGAGATGAAGTACACCAACAATGGAAACACTGGCAACATTTTCAGTGTTCCTATGTTCTATAAGTCCATTTAGTGATGGACAAGAAACATTAGCAACTACTAGAATGATTCTATTCTCTCAGCTTGGGACAGTTTTTTTGTTTGTTTGTTTGTTTTCCCAGACAGGGTTTGTCTATGTAACAGTCCTGGAATTAAGCTTTATAGACCAGGCTGGCCTAAGACTCACAGAGATCTGCCTACCTCTGCCTCCCAAGTGCTGGGATTAAAGGTGTGTGCCATCACTGCTTGGCTACTTGGGACTCTTGACAGAGATCCTTATCCTTCTCTGTTTCACCGGCGGAATAAACAGTCTAATGATGTGGGATTCCCCTCTGTATGCTGTATTATTGTCATTGGTTAATAAAAAAAGCTGTTTTGGCCAGTGGCTTAGCAGAACAGAGCAAGGCACAAATTCTAAGCAGACAGAAGAAGAAAGAAAGCAGAGTCAGTGAGACGCCATGTAGCCACTATTTGGAACCTTGCTGGTAGGCCACAACCTCATAATGATGCACAGATTAATAGAGATGGGTTAATTTAAGATATAAGAGCTAGCAGGCAATATGCCCAAGTGATTCGTCAAGCAGTGTTGCAATTAATATAGTTTCAGTGTGATTATTTGAGATCTGGGTGGCCAGAAAATGAATGAACAGCCTCTGCCTAGAGCCTAATATGGATATATGCTTGTAAGTCTTTATTAGACACCATTAAAATATGTGAATAACACTCTTAATTTAGCCATAAAGGACAAACTCTTAATAATGTTCAATTAGGGGAAGATCTGGAGCCCAGGTCCTCTTATAGATAATGTAATGAGTTGGAAATGCTTCTCTATTATAAAAAGGACTAACCAGAAATGAAACTATAACAACTTTCATTGTCTCACATAGTTGTTTTATAAAGGTATATATAAAATTCTCTTATATATAAATATATAGTAAGTTCTTAAATTCTAAATAACCATAATCACTATACACACACACATACACACACAAAAAATTTTAATTACTATTAGGACTTAATAGCAATTCCTTAAGATACTTACCTCTGTAGTTTTTATAGAAAATGCAATTGTTGGCACAGGTATCAGGATGAGCATCCCAAAAATCAGGACCACAACAACATAGTGGAGGTAAAGTGATATTATACAGCTTCATTTTCTCCTGGACCTGGGCTCGCAAAGCTTCTACATATCTATAAAAGTACAGTGTGGTCAGGTCAATCAACGACTAGGAGAACAAGCATAAATCCTGATTTTATACCGCTTTTCACTGCTCTGTACCCCGAGTCTTCCTATGTAGTAGGAAATAGCACAACACAGTGCTAGTCTCAAGATGTACTAGCCAATCAAACAGCGATGGAGTATCCAACCTAAATGAGGAAAAGTATGAGAAGACAAACCAAAAGTGTCTGTCTTTTTTTCTCTCTCTTTGGTTTTGAAACAAGGTTTCTGTATGTAGCCCTGGCTGTCCTGGAACTTGCTCTGTACACCAGGCTAACCTCTAACTCAGAGATCCTCTTGTTTCTGCCTCCTGAGTGCTGGGATTAAAGGTGTGCACCACCACTGCCTAGCTACACCAAGTCTCCTAAGGAATGTGAGAAAGCCTACTTTCTGTCTCTTCTAGAGCCAGAATTTCACACAGAATGTTTAAATTCACCTTACATATTCTTTTTCTTTCTGGTGCTGTTTTTCTCTGGCTCCTTCCATTTCTTCAAGCTGTAGCTGGGCTAAGACATCACTTATCTTCTGTTCTGAACAAGGATCTTCAGGGCAGTGCGCTCTCAGGAGCCTCTGCTCTTCAGCATGGCGCTGCTGCTCTTTCCTTCTCTTAATTCTGAAAATGAAACAAAACATACTTAGGAATTTTTAAAAGCTGTTATTTAAAATTAGCTTCCTTATACAAATAACTCAAGAAATTCCCTCAAAAAAGGACAACACAAAATCAATTTAGCAACCCAAGAACTTTTATATTTATTTATTTTGAGACAGTTTCTCTGTATAGTTCTGGCTGTCCTCGAACTCACAGAGATCCGCCTGCCTCTGCCTCCCTAGTGCTAGGATTAAAGGCGTGCCCTCCCCTCAAGAGCATTTTAAAAAGTGTTTGCGCTGGCTGACCTGAGTTTATCTATGTATGTTGGGGTTTTGCCTGCATATATGTCTGTGTGAGAATTGCCACATCCTCTGGAACTGAAGTTACAGACAGCTGTGAACTGTCATGTGGGAGCTGAGAATTGAATTGGGGTCCTTTGGAAGAAAGGCCAGAGTGGCCAGTGCTCTTAACCACTGAGCCATTCTCCAGTCCTTAGTTTATCTTCTAATCTATAGAAATTGCCTCTCAAAGGGAAACAAGAAATTGTCAGTAAGACATTTTCTGTTAGAATCCCAGCACAAGAACAGGCTCAGGTTAAAACTGGTAGGCAGGACATTTGCCACTACCAAATGCTTTAACAGGTACCAGATTTGTCCTCACAACAAAGAAACTTAAAAGGCAAATACAATAAAATGAAATAAACAACAGCTTTCATGACACTAATATCAACCACAAAACCACAGTTGTCCCTAGAAGATGACAAACAAAAAAGCAATTCCAATTACTGCCAACCTTTAAATATTGCTAACCTAGGCAATAGCGCAGGGGGAGGAGAATTCAAATGGAACCTGGTAGATTTGAGTAAAACACATTTGTAATAGCAATACATTTACCAAACAAACGGTAAAAAATAAAACACAATGTTAAATATTGTCTTGGGGTTTCTACTCTGATAAACACCATAACCAAAAGCAAGTTGGGGGAGGAAAGGGTCTGTTTTCATCTTATAACTCGGAAGTCACAGTCCATCAGTGAGGGCAGTAACTCAAGGCAGGAACTAGAGGCAGAGATAGGAGCAGAAGCCATGGAGGAAGGCTAATTATTGGCTTTCATCTCCTGGCTTGCTCAGACTGCTCTCTTAAATAATTTAGGCCCACCTGTCCAAAGTTAGCAGCACCTACAGTGAGGTGTGCCCTCCCACATCCATCATTAATCAAGAAAATATGCCAAAGACTTACCTATAGGCTAACCTTACAGAGGTATTTTCTCAATTAGATTCCCTTTACCAAAATGTGTCTAAGTTTGTGTTACACTGAAAAAAAAAAAAAACCCAAACAGTACAGATATCCAACCAAAGATGACCAAGTGTGGTGGTTTAAATGAGAATGGCCCCCACAGGGTCACAAATTTCAATGACTGATCACTATGGAGTGGCAATATTTCAAAAGATTAGGAGGTATGGTCCTGTGGGAGAAATTATTTAACTGAGGATGTGTTTTGATTTTCAAAAATCCTAAACCTGGCATGGTGGTGCATACCTTTAAACCCAGCACTTTAATCCCAGCAGGTAGATCTCTGAATTAGAGGCCAACCTGGACTACAGAGTGAGTTCCAGGATAGCAAGGACTACAGAGAATCCCTGTCTCAAAAAAAAAAAAAAAATAAAATAAAAGGTTAAAGGCCCACAGTCTCTCTCAGTCCTCTTTCTCTCCCCCCCTCCCCACCTCTGTTTATGGACCAGGATGTAGACTCTCAGCTACTGCTCCAGTACCTGCCTGCATGCTGCCATGTTCCTCATCATGATGATAATGAACTAAACCTCTGAAACTGTAAAACCCCCAATGAAATGTTTTCTTTTATAAGAGTTGCCATGGTCATGGGTCTCTTCACAACAACAGAACAGTAACTACGACACCAAGTATGGAAAGAGGCAGGGAAGTAATTCGTTATGAGCAGAATAATCAAGATCATCTAACACTTTTGTGTTAGAATTACACAGAATGACATTCTCATGGTTATTAGTCATATCAAAAATAAAATCTGCTGGGCATGGTGGCACATATACTCCTTGGCATCCAAGAGGCTGAAGCAGGAGAATCATCTCATGTGTGGCCAGCCTGAGCTATAGAGTGAGTTTCCAGGTCAGCCTGTGCTACATAGTGAGACCCTGTATTGAACAACAAGAAGTAACATGAAAAAGACTGACATAAATCTTCCAGGGTTGAAAGACGCAATTTCTGAGAGAAAAATATGCAAACTACGATTTTGTCATATATGTAAATGTGTAAGCATAAAGACAGAAACTCTAAGATGAATCACAGCAAAGGGGGTGCTAATTAAAAAGATTAAATAGGTCAGAAAACAAATTCCGCAGCCATATCTCCAAAAATGATATACAAATGGGCCAAGATGTGTGTGCAACAATAACATCACTCACTATCAAGAAAATACAACCCAAAATTACAACAAAGATAAAATCATCTAGCCAGGTATGGTGGTGCACACCTTTAATCCTAGCCCTTGGGATGCAGAGGCAGGAGGATCTCTATTGAGGCCAGCCTGGTCTATATACTGAGTTCTAAGACAGCTATGTAGAGAGACCTTGTTTCAACAAAAAAAAAGATCATTTAATATCCAGCAGGATTGCTACATTAAAAACCCCAAAGAGCTGGGGATGTACTGCAGTGGGTGGAGTGCTTCCAAATAACTTATGAGAAAAAAAGAAGTGGAATTTAGAAGGAAAGTTTAACTCAGTGAAATGATTTATACAGCTACGAAGAATTTAGTTAAGGCTGGAGCGAGGGCTCAGGGGATAAGAAGAGCACTGGCTGCTCTTCCAGAGCCCCCATTAGGTTTCCAACACTACATGGCAGCTCACACTGTCTGCTACTCCAGTTCCAAGGGATCAGATGCCCTTTCTGGCCTCTGCAGGAACACACATGGTACACAGATATACATGCAGCAAGATATCCATATACATAAAATAAATTTTTAAAAAGAGAGCATGTAGTAGGGAATTTCTACCATTAAATGCCTAGATTAGAAAAATAAAATAAAAAGGGCCCCACATCGAAGACCTTAGCTTCTACTTTATAAAAAGAGAAAAATTAAGTTCAAGATAAGTATCAGAAAAGAAATAATAAAGGAAATATAGAGATCTGAAACAAACTGGAAAACAAAGATAACAGAAAAAATACTGAATTGAAAAGTTAGTTCTTTGATAACTGTTAAATCAGTCTAAATGTGAGGGAAAAGACACTAATTATTAATAAAAAAGTAAAATGCTATCATTACATGTGCTACTATAATATAGAAGGCTCGGGACAATTTCATGCCAAAAAATTGACAACTTGGATGCAGTTACAATGTGAAAGGTATATATTATTAGAGTCCCATATCAGCAATAATGAAACTGCAGTTAAGAGATTTTTCTCAATGAGAAGCACAAAACCACATGGGTTTACAGGCAAATTCTAGCAAATGATTAAGGAAGAGATGAAACTAGCTGACACTCATCCAACAAGACTGATGAAGAAAAACTGCCTCTCAACTATTCTCTAACACTAGTATTACCCTTAGGCCCAAACAAATACAACCCCAAATCAGAAAACACAGAAGTGCAAGTTAGTATCTCTCATCATACACATGACAAAATAATATATTTTGTCTGTTTTCTCTTCTGGAGCTGAGGACTGAACCCAGGGCCTTGTGCTCGACTACTCAACTAAATCCCCAGCCGCTATTCTGTCTATTTTTGGTCTGCTATGATACTGCATTGAAATGTCCGTTTATGTTGGCAGCATACAGGAGTGCACATTTAGCTTGAGGCATCAATGATGTGCCCTGCAAACTTACTCAATTAACCTTAAAACTCCACTGGAGTTTTACAAAGTGATCATGTCATTTTCCGATAAAGGCAACTTTAATCACTACTTCTTTGTTTAAGTTGTTTTATTTCGTTGTCTTGCCAGACTGCACTGACTGAACTCTAGTATGACCTGAATAGATGTGAAGAGAACGGGCAGCCTTGGATTTGGAAAGAAAGCATTTAGCCTTTCATATCAAGTATATTAGTGGTAAGATTTTCAATAGATGTTCTGTATCAAAAAAAATTCCCTTCTCCTCCCAATTTGTTGAAAAGGTTTTTAAAATTTTTTAATAGGTATTGGATTTTGCATGTGGTCATGCATTAGATCACTCCCTCTCTAACTCGATTTCTAAACCAATTCTGTCCCTGGGGTACAGCCCACCTGGTAATATTATGCTGCTCTCTTAATATATTGTTTGATTCTCTTTGCTCAGAACGCTGATAGAGTTGTGAGTAATAAAAACTGTGTTTATAATATTTCAGGTAGAAATAATAACTTTTGGGAACTGAAGTAGAGGCAATTCATATTACATTTTTGCAAATAATTTGTCTCTATTTTGTCATGTCCTTAGTTTGTGCAAGGCTAAATTTAAGAAATACCTGGGTTGGATCTACATCTTATCTGTGCTTGTAGTAATTGGTACAATCACTTTGAAAAGTAGTTTGATAATTTCTTTTAAGACTGAAATACATACCTATCTTATTCGGCAGGTACTTAGCCAAGAGAAAAGATAATATATGCCCATACTAACGCCTGCATACAAATTTCATTGAAACTTTATTTAAGAGCAAGTCAATTCCTGTCTACAGAGCTTCAAAGAATGAGATGACTATCTGGTTAGGGGCTAAAGCTCCCTCAAGTTAAAGCCAATGTTCATTTCCCAATCTGAAAATCCTTAGAGACTGAAAGATTATACTAGGTCTACTTGGTTTGTGTCCCAATGGAACAAAGCCTAAATGGCAAAGCACCCATTTAAAATCCTTACTGGAAAGAAATTTCGTGACAAGTTCCATGAGTTCCAGGCTGGCCAGGAATTTCCCATGCAACCAAATGTTCTAGTTTCCTTTCTGTTCCTATGATAAAGCATTTCAATCCCTCCTTAAGGGAAGAAATACTTTATTTAATCTTATACTTCCAGGTCACAGTCCATCACAA